GTGGGCCTGAATTTCACACCCTCTCACCCACGCCCAACAGGATGGTCCAGGTAACACTTCAGGCACTGCAGGGGCTTCCCACTGGCCCACTAGCCAGGTTGGCTGAGCATCAGCCCAACTGAGCACATTTGGGAACCCCTTTTCTGAAAAAAAAAATCCACTGTTACTGGCATTTCCTTTCGTATGTATTCTGGGAGAGCAGAAGGGGGTTTTTGGCCCCAGAGGTGGACCCTCAGAAGCGAGCTTGTCAAGACTCAGAGAATCTGCCTCTCCTTCCTCTGATGATTTTTTTAAGGTTTAAGCTGACGGTACCCCCAGAAACGGATGTTTCCTGTTTTCTTCCCCTTCCTGCATTCAGCCAACCATGACAAGGGGGGCATTACTGAGAAACTTCAGCCCTTAGCACCGTCTTTCTCGCTGTTTTGATGGGGAAGCATGATAAAAACGCATTTTTACATTACAAGCCCCAAAATTCAGGGGCACGACCCTCAACATTTCATAAAATGGTACCCCAAGAATTTTCTCTGCACTCTTCCCTCTGGTGATCTCTGCTCCACTCAGACACTCTCCTAAAGTGAAATAATTTTATTTAGGGAAATTGATTTAGAGACACGTGAGGGGGAAGAGAGACTTGTGCCTTATGCTCAAGAGAGAGTGTAGGGTTTTCCCAGAGGGGAAAACAGCTGAGAGAACATGTCTCAGGTTGAGATGTGGACCAGACTTCAGGGTGTGGACAATCTCTATCTCTTTCTCTGTCTCTTTCTCTGTCTCTTTCTCTGTCTCTCTGTCTCTCCCTCTCTCTCTCTCTCTCTCTCTCTTTCTCTCTCTCTCTCTGTGTGTGTGTCTGTGTGTCTGTGTGTGTGTGTGTGTCTGTCTCTGTGTCTCTGTCTTCTGTCTTCTTTCTCTCACATGTGTGGCTTCCTGAGAAGTATTGGCAGTTCTCAAATCCGTGTTATGCAGCAGTATTTACCAAATTACCATGGGGAGGGGCGGAGAATACTGGAGTGAACCAGGGAAGGTGTAGAAGTCTCAGGTGCAATTCAGTGATCCTTTCTAGGGGCTCTGAGTACATTTTTTTTTTAATTTCCAGAGGCACATTTTTAAAAATCTACTAGAGTAGATTTTTAAAAATGTACTCAAGTAGTCCAGATAAATTTGAGCCCCTCTGCTGTCGAGGCCAAGATGTAACTATACCGGTTATCTCTGGACAAAGTCTCCATGGGGCAGGAGCCAGAGAGATAGTAAAGTGGGTAAGGTGTTTACCTTGCATGCGGGTGACCTGGGTTCGATCCCTAGCACCACATACAGTCCCCCAAACCCTTCCAGAAGTGATTCCTCAGCACAGGCCAGGAGTAAGTCCCGAGATTGCCAGGTGTGGCTCCCAATCCAAACAAAGTCTTAGTGATTTTCCTGGAATTTTCACATGCTCCGCCTCTGAGCGCTATAATGTGGAGCTATCTTAGGAGATGGGAAAGCAAGTTGGATACGAAAGAGTGGGTGTTGGGAATAAAGCCGCACAGCCCAGCCTCAGCTTCATGCATGCTGCAAGGCAGTGCATGTGTGCAGCTGGTGAAATCTGAGCCGATCGTGGCTTTGTGCCCAGCGTGGTTCTATGCACCAATGTCATGACCCGTTACCGAGTGAGGTATTCGGTAAAATTGGGGAAGGCCATGCAGTCAGTGTCACTGCGGGAGGACTGGTGTCAGCAACACAGATCAGAACTGCCTCTGCTGAGCAGTTGGCTCTGATGCCAGCTTCCCCAGAAGGAACCGAGGCAGGATGAACAGTTAGTAATAGGGCAAGGATCTGCCAGTCCACAGCACTGCTGGGGCGGACCAAAGAGCAAGTGTGGCTCAGCTTGCAGCCTGGAGCCTGTGAGCCCTTGGGGAGGCCTGGGGGAGTCCCGGGAACTTGGAGCTTGCTGGTGAGGTATGAGTTGAAGCAAAGTTCTGCAGACTGTAGCGAGGGTGCTGTAGAGCTGGGGGGTGCGGAGTAGGGGAACCTTTTAGTCTGTTGGGTGAGAAGTGAGGACGAAATGAAACGGTCAGTGTTGGGGTCTCAGCAGCCAACCTGAGACCCTGGCCAAATCCCCTGCCCTTGGAAACAGGAGCTAGCTCTGTTCACAGGGGTCCAGGGCCTTGTGCTGGTACTCCACCCAGAGAAATGCACTCTGGTTGAGAGGATAATGGGATGGAGGGTAACACGCCCAGCCCTGAAGACGGGAAATGTGAATCATTAACTAACATCTGTACTGCTCCTGTACAAGCGGTACGTACTCCCGTACGTACTGCCGTCAGAGATGTATGTGTGAGAGCTAATTAACTGGGAGCTGCTTGACCTCCAGCTCCCCATTCTGTGTGGTTCTTTCTCCATGGCTGTGGGGGTCGAGGTGAGCAGAGGGACAGGGCAGAGACTTCTCCCCATCCCACTCCCTCTCCTACAGGGAGCAAGTCCGGAGGCTTGGGGGAATCATGATCCAGTTTGCCAGGGTCGACTGGCCAGGACCCTGACAGGTCAAGAGGAAGCAGCTTACAGGAGGAACTAGCTGGAAATTAGAAGTGGAAGCGAAGGCAGGTGTCCGCGTCATGGGCACAGGTGCAGGAGGTGGAAACGGCAGGCGTCAGGGAGGGGAGAAGACTCCGGCATGGATGTGGAATGCCGTCTGAGTGCCCCTCTGTGCCGGATGATCATCTTTCTAGCTCCCTCTATCTGAATTTCTGTACAGATTGCTCTTTCATCTGCATGAAAACCTTGGGGTTGGATGGTGTCGTCCCCAGGCAGGTCCAGCTGTCTGAAGTGGCTGAACCAGCACTACAACCGTTCAAATGACCTGACTCCAGAGATGGTGGCTCTGTCCTCTTGCACTGGGTTTTGAGCATGTTAAGTTGGAGGTGCTGGTTGAATTTCCAAATGAAAATTTGGAATTTTTTTTGGTAGGGAGATAGGGTTAGGAGATGCCCTTCCCAGTGGTGTTGAAGACCATCTGTGTGGTACCCACTGGTGCTTAGGAGGCCTTGGGATATTGGGACTGAACTGGTCCTGCACATGCCTGGTAGGCATGCGAGCCCTTTAAGCTGCAGCCCTGACCTCTGAAATATGGACCATTATCCCTGTATTTTTTTTTTCATTTTTGGGGGGTCACAGTGGTGCTCAGGGCTTACTCCTGGCTGTGTGCTGAGGGAACATTCCTGGCGGGTTTGGGGGACCAAATGGGCTGCCTGGAATTGAACTCAGGGCGGCTGTGTGCATGGCAAGAGTTCTACTGGCTGTACTACACTCTGGCCCCTAAAATGTCTTTTGCGGGTTTTTTGGGGGGGGCCAGGGGGGGGACAGCACCTGGCAATGCTCATGGCTTACTCCTGGCTCTGTGCTCAGGGATCACTCCTAGTGGTGCTCAGAAAACCATATATGGTGCTGAGGATTGAACCAGGGTTGGCCGTGGCAAGGCAAATGTCCTACCCACTATACTATTGGTCTGACTCTGAAATCACTGTCACTGTCCTCCCATTGTTCATTGATTTGCTCGAGCGGGCACCAGTAACATTGTGAGACTTGTTACTGTTTTTGGCATATCGAATACGTCTCGGTAGCTTGCCATACTTTCCCGTGGGAGCGAGATACTCTTTGGTAGCTTGCCGGGTTCTCCGAGAGGGGCAGAGGAATCGAATTTGGGTCGGCCATGTCGGCTCTGAAATATATTTTTAAAAAATACTTCATGGGGGTCACATCCAGTGGGACCATGTAGTAACAGGAATCGAACTTAGGGCCTTGAGCAAGGCCTGGATTCTACCCCTTGATCACATTTTTGATCTCTAAAATATGCTTCTGAGAAGCGTGTCTGAGCTCCTTGATCGTGAACTTTGATTGAAAAATATCGTAAAAAAAAAAAAATTCCTGCCTTGTCCGCAAGCTTAATGGATATTTACTCTTAGGGAGTTTCATTATGGGGTCAGAGCTATAGTATTGTGGGGTAGGACGCTTGCTTGCCTGGCATCCAATGTGTTCTGCCAAGCCCTGCCAGAAGTGATCCCTGAGCACAGAGCCAGGAGTAAGCCTGAGCACTGCCAGGTGTGGCCCCAAACAAAATCTGAAAACTCTCATTGTGTTCATTATTTTAGTTATTTTCATTTTAATTCTATTCCAAGACAACATAATCATGGTTTATGCACATTTGAGACATTTTAACTTTAAGGATAACCTGTGATGATCATTTTAGAAGATTTTATTTTTTCCTTTGAAGGCTGAGGTAAGGGTATTCGTATTTTGTGTAGGGAGACAATACAGGGGGATTCTTTCCTTTCTCCAGGACTCCCCCAGTCAACAGCTCTGTGTCTCTGCTAAATACTACCCAGCTCATCCACCCTCAGCATCAGTCAGACTACATTTACATATTTCCCAGCAGTGCTTGCAAGGACCCAAGGATGCGATGCTGCTTGGACCATTGTGCTAGGGTCCCTGACCCACCTCAGTGGTGCTTAAAATCCCCAGAGCTGTACCCAGTGGCGCTTGTGGGACCATATGGTGCTGTGAATGGAACCCAGGTGGGGCTATGCTATGCCTGTGCCTAACTGCTGTATTATCTCCCCAGTTAGAAATTGATTTTTAATTGGGGCCACCCTTAGTAGTGCTTGGGGAGCGCCTGGGGCCACATCTGGGACCATGATGTGATGCCTATGATGCTCCATGCTCAGTCTGGCTGCATAATGCCCCAGTGTCATGGAGTAGTGTTGGGGGTAGAGAAAGATGGGGTGCCAGGGATGGGGCTCAGGGCCTCACACTGACTAGGCAGGTCCTGTACTGTGTGCACCGTCTTCCCATCTCGGCATTCCTTTTTAAGGAAACAGAGAGTAAGTCTGTTTCTTTCTCAGAACTTGGAATTCATTCATTTGTTCTGTCGTCTCCCTGATAGGCTGCACGTAATTGTCCCTGAATGGAGCCTGTGGCGTAGCTGAGGGAGGCCGGTGGCTGAGCTCAATGAAGGATGACGTCGGCGTGGAGACATCCTGGTGTGTTGGGTTCTCATCGACAACGTGCCCCATTCCTTTGCAGTCCCAGAGAAGTGGGATTAAGGGAAGGTACCCGGTGAGAGAAGCAACTCCTTTTGACATTTTGATGGCCAACATGTGTTAAGATGGACAGCTCTTCAGCACACACGTTTCTAGGGGCCCCGAGAAGTCAGCAACTGTTTTTCACTAACCCTAAATAAATGAACACTAACCCAAATGGATGTCAGAAGGTTTTTCAGCGGCAGAAGAGTGAAAAAATGGCAGTTTCTTCAGTTATCTGCCACCTGCTTTATCCTGAGTGTCATGGTGTTCTGGGGGCCTGTGAATTACGACCTGATGAATCATATGAAGTCCTATTCTTACAGATACCTCATCAATAGCTATGACTTTGTGAATAACTCTCTCTCACTCAAGCACAGCTTGGACGGGGACCCTCGGTACCCATACTTGATTAACCATGAGGACAAGTGTCAGCGGCAAGACGTTCTCCTTTTACTCTTTGTAAAAACGGCTCCAGAAAACTACCAACGCCGATTAGCCATCAGAAAAACGTGGGGCAACGAGAAATACATTCAAGAACAATTCAACGCCAACATCAAAACTCTGTTTGCCTTAGGAGCGCCTGCCAACTCACAGACGAGGGACGATCTCCAGACGAAGCTGGTTTGGGAAGATCAGATCTACCACGACATCATCCAGCAAGACTTTGCTGATACTTTCTACAATCTCACGGTTAAATTACTTCTGCAGTTCAGCTGGGCCAACAGCTACTGTCCACACGCCAAATTCTTTATGACTGCGGATGATGACATCTTTATTCACATGCCAAATCTGATCGAATACCTTCAGAGTTTGGAACAAATAGGTGTTCAAGACTTTTGGATAGGCCGAGTTCACCGGGGAGCGCCACCCATTCGGAACAAAAAAAGCAAGTACTATGTTTCCTACGAAATGTACCAGTGGCCCGCCTACCCTGACTACACGGCTGGTGCGGCCTATGTCATCTCCAATGATGTTACCACCAGAGTCTACGAGGCGTCACAGACACTGAACTCCAGCCTGTACATTGACGATGTGTTCATGGGCCTCTGTGCCAACAAAATGGGCATTGTACCACAGAACCACGTGTTTTTCTCCGGGGAAGGAAAGACCCCTTACCATCCCTGCATCTACGAGAAAATGATGACATCTCATGGACACGTCCAAGACCTGCATGGCCTTTGGAAGGCTGCCACCGACCCTAAAGTCAAAACTGTCTCAAAAGGTTTATTTGGTAAAATCTACTGCAGATTAATTAAGATCGCGCTCCTTTGCAGATTGACCTATGTGGACACTTACCCTTGTAGCGCCGCCTTTTTATAACAGTACTTGAATGTTAAATGTTTCCACTGTCACTGAGCCAGAATGGAATGAAACCCCTTTGAAATGCTAACTCCCCCCCACTCCCCACCCCCCAGCGAAATGAACATGAAAGACGTAGACATGTGGGGTCCAAGTCCCGCCTATCTAAATGTTTCTTTGATTCTGAAAGCTTGGCCGGGTTACTCAGTTGGAGCCTTTGCTGAAATTTATATTTAAAAGAGATTTCTGAAAACCAAAGTCAAGGGAAATTTCATGTTCTCACCTAATGCCACATTGCACCTTTGATACCTGGGTAAGAGAGTAACTGCTTTGAGGAAAATTGCAAGTGACCGTTTAGTCAAACATTTCAAAGAAAGGAAAATGTGAGAACCAGAGGAACACAGTTGTTTTTATTAGTGAGCACCGGACAAAGGTGCTGGGAACAGGTGAGAATCAGCATTGGGGAAAGTCTATGAGTCTAGTAAAAAAGAAGTCTCTTGGTCTTCAGAGGAGATATTTAAAAACATACACGGTTTCATTGTAAAGAGCCAAATCACTTACTGTCCCATCTCTGTAGTTATTTTACTTAGTGTTGACGTCATTAAATTTTTTTTCAAAGTTTAATTGGAAATTTGAGAATTCATTAGGTCTGCCCTAACTGGCACTTTATATGGTGATTGATTTTTATTTTAGAATATTATACAATGACACCAAACACGGACAATTTATTGCCCATAGGGTCCCCTCTGTAGGGAGGAGTGATTGTTAATTCTTATAGGATGATTTTAATATAATAAATTTTCAGCTGGTTTTTAAAATATTCATTATTGGTCTACTTAGAAGATGATTTGTTTTAATGTAGTTTGTCTAGAAAACTATCATATGGAGGCTTCAAAAGAAGAGATAGAACATTCAAAGCCTCTTTCTGCCTACTTTATAGAAAAAAATCCTTAGTATGTAAATTATCACAGAAGTTACTAACCTTAGCTCAGCCCTACCCAGCAAGGCCTCATAAATCACAGGACTTTGTTCCATTTTTGGATTTTTAAAATTGAGAGTATTAATCCTCAAATCAAAGTGAGAGTTCCTTTAAGAATCTATTACCTTGACAAAACAACTATCATAGATGAAATCTAAGATTTCAGTATTTTAAACTTGAAGACCAAATGAAAGTGATTGAAAAAAGTCACCAAAAATGAGATTCCGAACATTTGTAAAACTGTATATTCTTCTTGTATTCAGAGGTATGACTAAAATCTAAAAAACCAAAACAACCAAAAAACTGGTTACATATCTTACACCAAGCAGGATCAAACTGGCCAGGATGCAAACAACCTTCCTTCACCCCCAGGAAGAATGAGGTAATCGTTAGGGAGATTACATGAAGGCCAAAATAGTGAGCAGTAAAAATGATTGGACCGATTAGAAAACCTTTTTTCTAGAAGACATGTCTCATTTAAAAAAACATATTATTATCATTATTATTTTTTGGTGCTGTGGCTCAAACCCAGAATCTCATACAGTATAAAGCATGTGTTCTATGTTTTGGTCTTACCACTATTCATCTAAGATGTGTCATGGAGTACAGTAACTGAAACGTATTTTGTTGCTTTTCAAAAAAAAAAGAAAAAAAGGAAAAGGATTTCTCAGTATATAAAAATGGATGATATTTCTAGGTCTATAATTTCTTTGCAGATAATTTTTAATGTTTACAGGATATTTTTGTTCATTTTCTATTCTGAACATTGAAGCTTGTTTACATGAATTGCTCAGACAACTTAGAATTTTTAATGAGCCTCAAAATTATAGCATCCAGCATTCTGGTTTGTAGCTACTTTCCGAGGAGATCTGGGGTTCTTATGGTCATTAGATTCTAGATTGTCTGACCAATTAAAAATAGTATAGAAAACAAAAGCACCTTTTGACAAAACAGGTTTATAATTGATCTGATTGGTTGACTTCTTAATAGTCATTGCCTCACTGTAATTGTCATTGTGTAAATTTATCACTAATTGAAAACTTCATTGTCTCTCTGACTACCAAAATGATCTTGTTTACAGCAATACTTTTGTGAAACAGATATTTATTTGGGAAACTGCTCTCCTTCACGAAGTTCCTTTTCCATTTTTTGTTTTGGATAGAAGGGAACAGGTTTAATGTGAAGGAAATATGAAGGCACTTCCTTTTTTCAGTCAGAAGGAAACTGCTAGATGCTTCCTTCATTAGACTTAATGTACTCAGATGAGTATTTGTAAATCTGGAGGATTCCAGCCTTTTAAAAGGGAAAGAAAAAAACTTTTTTTGGTGCTCCAATGCAAGGCTGTCTTTTTAAAATCAGTAACAAAGGGAAAATCAACAATCAGCCTGGATGGTCACTTGTGTAGAAGATGGTTGTACAGTGTTATTGCTTAAAAAAAAGTTTTTTACCTCTTGGTTGGTTTGCATCTTTTTTCCATATTATTAATTTTTTATCAAAATGTTAACTATTTATATTATTGAATTTTGCTCTTGTATGGTAAAATAATTAGTGAGTTTTTAAAAATAAATCTATGATTTCCAATAAACAATTGTCGGCAGATACGTGTTTTAACAAAGGTATTTTTTTTAAACTCTCCTCTGAACACCATTTGTTTATATATAATCTGTTTGTTCTGTTTAATATCAGAGATGCCTGTACACAGTCTTAATCCTATAATCCTGTCTGACCTGCTACTGCATCCAGGATAAAAGATGACTGTGTCCTCTGTCTTCAGGGCCTAAAATGACTTTTGTTTCTTAATGTGATTTACTCTGAAATAAATGGAGGGATTTTTCTCTCCTAATAGATTGTTCCTAAAGGAATAAAGTCAAAACCTATAGCCACAGTGCCTGAAGACCATATGTGAAAAGGTCCTATTTTCCTTTTATTTGAGATCATTAGTTATCCACAAGTAGATTCCAATTTAGCTCTACTCTTTTCAGTCAGGAATATTGTAGGCAACTTTGGTTGGATGGTTCAGTATAGGTAAACAGTATGTTCTCTGCTTCCTGCTCAGTTCTTAGCACAGTACATAGTGTGATTCAGTCTATCCATTATTTAAATTTAGGAAGCTTTGAATTAGTGGGTTGCAGCAGAACTCATTACTTGCAAGACACGGTGGGTGTTTGTAACTAGGACTGAAATGATGTTTACTTGGGAAAATTAATTGGCTTATATTGGGGACTTTAATTGAACACCATCACTGCAATGAGAATGACTACGGAATGTTTATTATATAGGGTTATTCCGCTATAGTAAGGAGAGAAATGCTAAGTATCTTGGTGACACTTCCCTGCAATTCTACATTCTGCTAAGAAAAACAAATCCCAGCTTTTATTATTATGATTCTTTGCTCCAGGCCTCAAAGGCTACTTACTGCCTCCAGCATTAAATATCATCCTACCTGGTGCTCAGGTTCTTCCTTTCTTGGCAACTTAATTTTTCATAGTGTCAGGATTATCTGCCACTACCATATTTATGTTTATATCTTGCACATCTTATTTTACTTTCCCAGGAACACTTTCTCTAATTTGTTGAAATCTTGAAAATGCAACCTTGATTTTTCCTTTTGTTAAACATCTGTCCTTCCCACAAAATATACCTTTACTTCTGTAATTGTGCCACTTACTAATTACTTCAGGTGTTTCATCCTAGCTAGATATCTAGGTTTGGGAGGTAGGAATTTGTATAGACCCTCATAGGTAAAGGTAAAAGGTAAAGGCCCTCCCGTTGTTCATCGATTTGCTCGAGCGGGCCCAGTAACATCTCCATTGGAGATTTTGTTGTACTGTGTTTGGCATATCGAATACATCACGGGTGGCTTGCCAGGCTTTGCCGCGCGGGCGAGATACTTTCGGTAGCTTGCCTGGCTCTCCGAGAGGGGCGGAGGAATCGAACTCGGGTCAGCCATGTTGGCTGCGTGCAAGGCAAACGCCCTACAGCTATGCTATCACTCCAGCCTTCGTTAGTATAGACCCTCATAGAATGCTCTAAATTTGTTTTCTCCAAACACAATAATGCAGTGTTTTTTTGGCAAGTGCATGATCCAAATATAAACAGACACATTATTTAAGAACTTTCCATGAACACCATTTGGAGTAACATTTTGCCTATATTACTTAGCACTGTAGCATTGTCCTCCCGTTGTTCATCGATTTGCTCAAGTGGGCACCAGTAACGACTCCATTGTGAGATTTGTTACTGTTTTTGGCATATCGAATATGCCATAGGAAGCTTGCCAGGCTCTGCCGTGCGGGCGGGATACTCTCGGTAGCTTGCCGGGCTCTCCAAGAGGGTCAGAGGAATCGAACCCAGGTCAGCCACGTGCAAGGCAAATGCCGTACCCGCTGTGCTATGGCTCCAGCCCCCTAGACTACTTAAGTGTTTATAATTCAAGAATATCTAAATGCTTACTATATGCCAAGCATATTGTTCCTATTAACTGTGGCCTCCCCAAATTTTTGTTAGTTACACATCAGAACTCGTCTAGAAAACCAAGAGTAAGGAAATCCAGATTAGGTTTACATCAAAGATGGGTGATGTCCTGGTACGTATTCAAAGCTAGGTAGTACAAATAGAGCCAAATCAACTCCTCTCTCCTGCTTAACATACTAGCTGAGTATTGCCTTTTCTCAAAATTCTTTGCAAGAACCATAAACATACTTTTCTTTGATTAAATGCTATAACTTTTTCCCTTTGAATTTCTCATTAGAAGCACGATTTAATGGCCTGAAAATTTAATATGATTCATCAACTAACTTAAAGAACCCTTTTAACTGTAAGATCTAATAAAAGGAAAATTATAATGATAAAAATAAGTGTGGGTTTTGATCATAGAAAACTTCTGAAAGATGGTATCACTCAAGGAAAACAACACATCACCAAGGGGGACTTTTCAAAGAACCTCACTCAAACATACTCAGGCACGCTGATTAGGCCATTTCCTATAACTCAGAGGCACAGCAGACAGTGAGAGCCTGCATGTTTTCTTGAATACACCTTCAAGCAAAATGAAGAAAAACTAGTCTAATTAAACTGATAATTGGTTTTAATCAAAGCAAAAATAAAGATGCTTGCTCATTCATTATATAAATATTATTTCTGGAAGCCTGCTAAGAGCAAAACACAGTCCTAGAGATTGAAAAAAAAAGCAGAGTTCATCAATAAGTTAAATGGTGTAGGTATAAATGAGTATGAGGAGAGAGAGAGGTAATTATCAGGATTCTGAATTAAACTTTTTTTTAATTTACCCTTTACATCAAGACAGCTCAAAGGACTGAAGCACATTCTTCTGATGTAAAGGCCACAGGTTTCATCCCAGGTGTGGTCATCCAAGCACTGCCCTGAGAGACCCCTGAGCACTGTGCTAGGAGTAACCCACAGTACCACAGAGCGTGGCTCAAAAAAACAAGTATCTCTGAAGCTGAAACTTGCTCTTTACCAATCTAATCCAAGTGTTCTGACTTACATGGTGCCCCCATGCATATAAGACCTTCCCCTGGGCCAGAAATAGCACAATAGATTGTTCAGATTGTGTCTTTGGGAGTCTTGGGGGAGCCAGCAGTTTTGAAACTAATATATCAATTGGTTTACATTGATTTTTCAATAATCCATTAAAAAAAAACAACAGTATTAATAGGAATTTGGTTGTTATTTTCAGCTCTTGTTATTTGCTTCTCAACCACACAAAGAAAGGTCGGGATGGAGAAGAAAGGCAAAATGGGACCCATGATCAACACTGGGTGGGCCCACCTCTCTATCTGCAGCTCTCATTCACAGACCAAGCAGGGCTGTTGGTGGAATGAATGAACCTCCCCCTTAATCAGAATCCATCCCTGATTAAGACCTGCACTACCCAGGGGTGTGTGCCCCTGGCGGCCGACCATTCATGAGTCAACTAGAAATGATGTATTTGCCTTTAATGTGTGATCAATTTGGGAAGGGGGTGAGTGATGGAATTTAAAGCTCTGACATGACTTCACAAAAGAAAGAGCAATCTTACCTGCTAGGGGAAAGATTTTCAGGGCTACCAAGCTGCTCCCGTTCAAGGTTCTCACCATCATGGCTGCCCACAAGAATTTCTTCATTCTGAAGTGAAGAAAACCAGTAAGACAGTTTATTTGATTGGGTTAAGGGGGGGGGGGGTCTTTATCTTTCTTCCCATTTTTCTTCTGATTTTAAGGCAGGGGCAGTTTAGGGGCACATCCAGTGATGCTCAGGGGCTATTCCTGGCCCTGTGCTCAGGGGACCACAGGGAGTGCCAGGAATGGAATCAGGGTCAAGCTGAAGTCAGGCTGCATGCAAGGTAAGTGGCTGATCTCTTGTATTATCTCTGACCAATTTTTTAAAACTCTTTAGATGAGTAATATTAATTAAGGCTCTTTCTTTTTCCTATTTCTTAGGGTTTTTCCAAATATGGTGGATCTGATACAGGTTTCTCTTTAGCTCTAAGAACACCAAAACCTCATCCTCAAAAAGCACAGTACCCAAAAGAAGAGAGAGAGAACAAGGGGGAATGCCCTTCCACAGAGGCAGGGTAGGAGGGGGGATGGGGGGTGGGAGGGATGCTGGGACCCGTGGAGGTGGAGGATGGGCACTGGTGGAGGGATGGGTACTTGATCATTGTATAACTGAAACCCAAGCACAAAAATTTATAAGTCTATAACTTTACCTCATTGTGTTTCACTAATAAAAAAATTTTTTAAAAAAGAGCTGATTAAAATGTGTATAAAAAAAAAAAGCAGAGAGCCTCTTCCAGCTTAGTAACTAACAAAAGGCTCTAACAAGGGACTCTTCTCCCTTGCTAGTTGATTTACAAAGGATTCCATGTTGGAACTTGCAGGCACACCAAAGAAAATCACTGGAATCATAAATTATGTCTTTCTTTTTTTGTCCTTCGTTTTGAGGGGCTAAGAAATTAAGGACTGGAGAAATTGATACCTGCTCAAGGCTGGAAAGAGCAGGAAGCCCAGATAAGGCTGGAGTTCTCTTTCACTGGCCCCAGATCACAAGTCCCTCCCACCCCACTGTCCTCTAGCATGACCAGCTAGATAGGCCATGAGAGTGGGCACTAGTGCAGGCTAGCCTCTGCCAAGAGCCTCCCTGCCTCCATTTCCTCTTTCTTAAACATCGCCCCCAGCATTCTCTCTATCACAGAGGGGTGTGGCTCTTTTTCAGAATCACATAAAAGCAATGACTGAGACAGAACAAGTAGATAATTCTGTAGCATTGGAATTCTTCCTGCCTGACAGATTCTGTTCAAGGAGTCCTTTTGCATTCTCACAACGGGGCTTTTGAAAGAGTCCTCTTGCAAAAGTAGCATTAAGGAGAACTGAATGAGTCATCCTAAAGGTTCTCTGTCAGAGCCAGAAGAAGGATGAGCTTTCCCCAGACCAACAAGAGATGTCTTTTTACAAAAAAGATGAGAGTTCAGGCTGCTCAATTCAGGGTTGACAAGTCAAGGACAGAGTCTTCTCCCCGGAATAACAAGCGGTCAGGATAAAATAGTTCATTATGCACAATATCAACCATGAACAGTCATTCAAAGATGTTCCACAGATGAAATAAAACCGGATCTTTGATCTTTTTTTTCATAGATGTCTTCCTACAGGTGGTATATCAAAAGAGTAAGGCACCAAAAGTAGGAGTATTTCGGATAATTAAGATCTAAAGCACCAGAACAATCCTACAATTTAAAAATATTTTTATTTTTTTAAAAGGATCATAGTTTGATAGGAATCTAAATTTTTAGTTCTTTCAATTACTCACATTTGAGACTAGAATGTATTTTTTCTGAGTCAGTATACAGAAGTTAAGTATTAGTCCCAGGATTCAGAACTATCTATTTTCACCACACTCCAAAGCTCTTTCTTCACATTTTCTATATAAAGTTGAACTAATTACTATGACAGTTAATGTTACATCAGTTCTCTTTCTAGTTCTTCCTCCATGACACTACTATCTTAATGATAGTAGTATTGCTAAAATACCCACTTTGAGCCCTAGCTTTATTTATCTGTGGACCATCAACATTTAATACAGGGTTCTCATAAAGAGTAATCACTGTTATTAACACAACTTCCTTTCACTGTAAAACTTACTCTTGCTTAGAAAATTAATAGTGCTCTTTCCAACTCTATTGATCTCTTGTTATTATGGTGGACTGTAAGTGTCTTGTTTCATAAGAACTCCAGTGATGGCAAAAAAGCAAGAAACAACTGTAAAGTTGACTCAAGGTGTTGGTCTGGAGGCATGGTCTTCATCATCTTTTCTTGGTAAAGACCTGATTATGTCAATCATGTTCCAGGGATGACATGTTGGACAGTTGGAATCAGAATGGGTAGACAAAATCCTCTACCAGTCCAGTTGATTGAATACACCAGTTTCAGTGAGGGTATATTGGCAAGGATCCATATCAGATCTGGAGACTGCTTTATCAGGTTTGGGGACCATATTCAGCAGTGCTCAGGGCTTAATGCTGGCTCTGTGCTCAGGGATCACTCCTAGTGTGACTCCAGCGACCATCTGCAGTGCTGGGGATCAAAATGGGGTTGCTGCACACAAGGCAAGTGTCTTAACTCCTGTACTATCTCTCTGGCCTCTGGGAAGTATTTTCATAAAAACTTGCCAATGTTTTTCTAAGGTTTCGAAAGGAAGTTGGTTTCATACTGCTGTGCACACAACCTGAACACAAACCACAAGAAAAACATTCACATCATAACATGCATTATGATTTATAAGAAAAACTGTGTTTTTTGTTTTCATCCTCATTCTGGAAGAGAATCCTTGGACCTCCCTAAGTATTAAGACAGATGAATGTATTTTATTAAGCTTAGGGATTGGGTCTACCACCAAGAGGCAATCCCAGCATGCAGTCCACAAGGATCAGAGCACTGTAATGTTCCAACAATTCCATCACACAGGGATGGAGGGAGAGGCTGTGTCTTGAAACCTCTGGACTGATCAGCAAAAGACTTCATACTGAGAGGTGCAATGTCTTTGGCAACAACCAGCAGATAGTCTCTTGTTTCTTTCCTAATCTCCAACAAGGAGATAATGGAAATTGCTGTTCATTTTTAGTCACCATGAAGAAGAAAGCAGTTAGCCAGTGTTCAGACGTTGTTGATTAGGAATTTGATTGGGAATGCATCAAACTCATTCAGAATCCTCAACACATGGCAGCTAGAGTCAAGATGGCATTTGTGTGGTTCAAAATGGTCTTTGAGTAGCCACTGGGTGATTGCTACCTGCTGATAAACACTACAGACCCTGTATTTCTCAGGATTTGGGGGATGTTGACCAAGTCACTCAATTCCTTGGGTACCTATTTCCTTCTGCATCAAATCAGGAAGATGGAGGAACTGACTGGGAAATGTGTCTTTGCTTAGAAAATAAAATATCAACATAGGTAGAGTCACCCCCCATTTTGAGATGAAAGATAAACTGCAGCCAAAAGCACTTAAGGGAAAATTTTAGACAAAGCTTCCTGATAGGTACAAGAAGAAGAGAGTATAACAAATACATGCTTTCTTTTTTTATTTTTTTCAAATTTTTGTTGTTTGATATAAAAATGGACCCAAAAATGTATTGCATATAATCACTACTTTATTTCTTAGTTAGGGACTCTAACTGAATTATAAAATCATTTATTTTATTTTTCTGGAATATATTCATTTATTTATCTATTTAAATATATTTAAACATCCCTGGAAGTACTCAGGGACTCTTCCTGGCTCTGTGTTCAGGAGCGATTCCTGGCAGTACTTGGGGGATCATATGTGCTGCTGAGATTCAAACCAGGGTTGGCAGGATGCATGGCACACATTTTAATGTTTGTACTATCTCTCTGGCCCCAAATGGTGCTCTTTGAAAGTGATAGCAGGATTTTTTGTGTGTGTGTGAAATCAGACCCTGTTTCCTTTCCATCATCCTGACTTCGAGTCATACCTGAAACATCCAGAAGTGGGAATTTTCTCAATGTTACAACAAATCATGAATTCTAATGGAGTTGCTGGTGTTAATACCATGTTAACAAAAATACCAAAAGTCACAATCATAACAAATAAATAAGACCTAATACAGCTGTATTTTCACTGTCTCCCAGGAAGGTATGTCCACCAGTCCATCTGGAATCTCCCAGTCAACATAATAAAGTAATCTGCTTCATGGACCTCTCCTTCCCAGACCGGGAACAAGGATACCCCCTAAAACCTTCCACTTTTTCTTATCCCTTCTGACTGTGTAACATTTATACAGCTCTCTGAGTCTCCTTGCTGCTTGCTAGGTGGAATGCTGTCTGAATCACAAAATCTAATCATGTAAATGAGATCTTCAACAATTCTTGGTGGATTTTTTTTTAAACAGCCCATTCATGCTTTCAAATGAAACCAACTAAAGTCTGGAGGGATAGTAGAGGGGATAGGTCACTTGCTCCTCATGTGGCTGACCCCAATTCAACCTCAGCACTGCTTATGGTTCTCTGAACCCTGCCAGGAGTGATTTCTGAGTGTATGTCCAAAACTCGCCCCTGAGTGCCGCCAGGTGTGGCTCAATCTCACCTCGACACCCTCATAGTAAAAATATAAATATTAACAAGAAAAGGGGGCATAGCGGTATTATCGCTGGTAGGTAGAATGTTTGTCTTGTATGCATTTAATATGGATTTGATCTCTAGCAACACCATATGGTATCCTGAGTTTCACCAGGAATGATCTGTGAGTGCAGGGTCAAGAGCAAGCCCTGATTACTGCCAGAGGTGGTCCTAAAGGAAGAAGAAAAGGAAGAGGAGGAGAAGATGGAGGAGAGAAGGAGGTGGGAGGAGGAGGAGGAGGAGGAGGAGGAGGAGGAGGAGGAGGAGGAGGAGGAGGAGAAAAGGTATGCAGATAAGGGGCTGAATCACCCACTTGATTTAGAGTGTGAAGAGTAATCATTCACTGTATCAAGTGAATCACTTTCTCGCATTACAAATTATTTATGAGAATCAGAGAAAATACACAAAGAGAGATGCAAAGTAAGAACCACTTGAAAACTAGAGAAAATAAAGGCAAGAAAGCCTCTCCAGGGATTGCCCTCCAACCTAAGTTCAGGTG